TCTCATTTCACAATCTGTTGAGCATGTGGTCGATAAGAGAGTACGACACTGAGACAAGATCTCATTCACTTTTGTTTCTGGAGAAGCCACAACGCTGAACAAGTACGGCCATTTCTCGTACTAAATTAAAAAGTGCTTCATACACCCTCACTATAAAGACTGCTAAAAGAATTAGTGACCTAATAAAAGAAGGTCAAATACCAAAAACGAAAGGTAAAACAGCTAACTTACCTTTTCCAGCTTCTTACTTCTTTTCGCTTGCCTAATTTCTAATCTTATTTCTCTTCCTCCCATGAACAAAAAAAGTCAAAAAGTAAGTAAATGTCCAATTCAAAGTAGCCAAAAAGTAACAAATCTAGTAATATACAAAGCCGCTTTTCCTACTTGTCTTCTTTTTCTGCAACAAAAATCCCGACATTATGAAAGACTTCCTGCTTATGATAATTCTTCCACTAATAATAACAAGTTTTTGAAACGCAATTAACACACGCCAATCATTTCCTCCGAATAAATGGCAGAAAACGTACCTCGGCATTTTCCATATCAAATTGAGAAACACGAATCATTCTTTCATTTTCTTTCAGCGGAGATCTTAAGCTTATTGATATCTAAAAGTTTGGACTTTTCTTTTAAAATAATTGAAAATAATTTCAGTTTCAAGAAATAAAGATTTAAAATAAAATCTTTATTATCCACTATGCAGATCAAAACAGGCTGCGTAATGCCCTTAACGTATAATTAATAGTTACTAAATTAACAACTTTTTAATAAAGCTGTAAAAACAAAAGCCTTCTGAAGAAAGGTAATAACGTACATAGGCGACAGATGAGTAGTGGTCGCGAACGCTTTCATTCTCGTAAACAGCGGTTTCATACCCGTCATCGCCTTTCTTATAGTGCTTCAGCATAACAAAACGATTAACATCCAATGAAAGATATTTTGAGATCCATTCTTTAAAAGAACTTGTCGACTGGCGACCATCAAGATCAACTACTATTTCTGAAAAAAAAAAAGGTGGAATAAAAAAAAACAGAAACAAAACAGGACTAATGACTGTCGAATTTTATGTACTTATTAATATTTCCTTTCTGAATAATATTTATCTAGGTACTACTATTTCGTGGTAAGAAAAGGTGGTGACTGGCTAAATGAAACTGACCATCCACTCCTTCTTCCGCATTTCTATTCAAAATGATAACTTCATAGCTACTACCACTAGTTTCACTCGAACTACCTATGAGGTCTCCAGAAACGCCAGTCTGACCACCTAAGGTAACCGTATCTTCCGAAGATTCAGCTGTTGAACTGACAGGATCCCACTCCGGCGAATCAAACCCATTGTTAATTTCTTGCGACTGTTTCGCTCTTGCTTCGAAAGTAAAAAGACGCTAAAAAGATAACGAATTATTGCTACAAATCGGATCCACAAAACGATACTTCCCTTACCTCACACCGTTCCGTTACTTTAGATGGAAGAGCATTAGGATCAAAAAAGTCGCCAGACTCAGAAACGGATGGTGATACAACTGGTGTGCTAAGCGAACTCGAAATTCTTGAGTGATCTAGCTCCTACAATGTCATATTGCATTATCCAATTAAAAAACAAGTTTTATTATTAGAAAAAAAAAAGAAAATGCAAAAGTATGAGTACAGTACCATCGACGTAGCCTCTCTATCTTCGTCAGATACTAGTGAGGAAGTCGAAGAAAGGTGACTGTTAGTTAATGATGGAGTTAGAAAACCTCCTGCAGCATTCCCGATAAAAGCTGGTGCCGCAACTGGATTTCCTCCATCTAAAACAGGAGATCCACATCCTGTACAAACATTGTTATTTTCCCCACTAATAGCTCCTACGTTGTACAGAGAAGTAACAAAACGGTTACTCCAGTTACCAACTGGTGACTCTGTGGCTGTACAGTCGACATCATTCAAAACATTCGAATCCACCAGAATTTCCTCAGTAAACAAAGAGTCTGGTGGCGTCAAACCCGCCTGTTTATAATCGTCTACAATAATACAGTGTTAAAGTTACCTGACGAAATCAAACCAAATGTTGCGACAAAGAACTTCAAAATAAAAAACAAAAAGCTAACTTTTATCAGGAAGCCGGATTGTTAACGTCATACCCAACCTTTTCCTTTCAAGCACCGCCAGAAAACATGATTTATCAAAAACTTTTCTCCGATCTTCTTCAACAAAATCAGAAGATAGCGAAGTGTCGAAATAAACATTCAGTAACTGTAAGTTCAAGATGAATAATTTATAAGGTGACAAAATTTTTGTGAGTATTTAAAACACCGTATTTCAATCAACAATCAGTTTGAAAAGAAATCCATATGAAAAAACCATTTTGTTCTACTGCTGTTTCACTATGGCAGTTGCAAAATGCTACAAAATTTTCAAAAAAGCCACAAAATACTGTATCAAATAAACCACTGTTTTCCTTTACCACCTAATTTACCCATTCACAACTGCGTGCCTTAGTATAATTCTATAGTCAAAAATTCGAGGCAAAAATAAAAAATCTACCTTAGTCTCTACTGTGCTAACCAAACTCGCACAAGTTTCATCTTCTTTTTCAATTAAGCGGAAAGGAGACACGGTTTGCATTGATTCCTTATCTAACACCAGCCGAACCTTTTGCAACGCATTTTCGTCAAATTCAAAATACTGAAAACTGAGGTAGAATGAAAACTCCGAATACTCCCATAAAAAGCATTATGTATAGTAATTCTGTCTCAAAAATGTCCAGACTCTGAAAAAATAAGCATCAAACTGACCTTCCCTATCTTCCTTCTCATTTCTGAAACTCGATCAGAAAGGGAGAACTGGATTAATATGGGCGTAAGAAATAACTTTTTTTCGATGTCGACCGGAATTAATTTACAAGTACACGACTCTTTGAGTGGTTTAACTTCGAAGAATTCAACGTTTTTAGGACTGACATCCAAAATAAAGTATGCATCTTGCCGATACGCCTTCGTGCCAGAATATTTAGGATACAAATCAACTAAATGAATCTGAAAAACAGCTAAATCATCTCTTACAATAACAATAGACTATACACTAATGCCTTAAAAACTTAAAGATGATACGTCTTTTACTAAAACAGTACCATGCAAAAAAGCAAAAAACTTACGGTCCGGATCTCAGAATGCGAAAAAACACGTTTCATGGTAAAAACTGCATCAGCACATTCAATAAGACGAAACTGATTAGCACTTTCCACTTCTGAATCGAAGCTACTTAAAGTTTGCTCATAAACTTCTTGTAATTTAGAGGTATAAGGTATGCGCAAAACTTTCTCCACTGCGCAAAGATCACCTGCGCTTCTACCGTTGATTAACACACGTATCTAGAAAACAAGTAGTTTAAAGCGACACTCAAAAAACTGCAAAAAATCAAGATCCGTCCTTTTGGAGTCAATTAGGAAAAGTACTTTGACTAGCGAATCTTCGTACTCCTTCTTCTTCCGTTTTTCCTCTTCACCACTTTCCCAGCGTTCTAAAAGACTTCTCAAATGTTCCGGCAAGTCAGCTGTCTTTACAAATTTTGCATTTTTGGCTTTGTCAATCTGCAATTTAAAGATAAAAATTTTAAAACCTGTAAACACAGAGGTCAACTGAAAAAATTAAGTGAATTGGACAAGCGAATAACATATATGGTAGTTGCTTTTTCACACCCTCTACATTTACGATTAAGAAAGGTTAATGAGACTGAACATTCCCAACCAACAAAACAAAAACGAACTCTTCTATACATGAGCATATATGCATTTGTGTTGCTTGATGACCATCCACCAGAAGACCCACCGTACGTGCGACGAATATCTTCGACGGTAGCCGCCGTTACAGCGCTGTCATTGAAACAAAACCAAGCATCTTGGTCCATATTTCTATAACACTTCACTTGAATAGGAACTACTGATTACCTTATAAAACAAAAATGATTCTTTTGAATTCGCTTCTTCAATATTCTAAAATTAACAGCGCAAAAGCCTTTTAGAATTTTCACTTTATGTAAGCATAATAGTGGCCTCCAGTAGCACTCCCCTGATGAACCATTACGGAAAAAAGCTCGTAAATGTAAGGACCATCATTATTAAGTAGCTCTTCTACAACGTTTGCATCGATATGTGAATGTTGGCTTTCCGCTCGCAGAACTAGAAAAAACAACCAAGTCCAACATCACTTATTCAGAATAACAACTACCACCAGACCAGTGCTTCAGTGATATCAGTATGAAACCCGAGAAACAAAATCTTATGCCAGTTTGAAAACATGTAAAGAAAATATTCTTCCTACCGTGCAAAGCAAAAAATATCTTTCGAAAAAATCATCAAAACTGTAGAAAGCAATAGAAGCGAAGGTACCGTAATCGATTGGAGGAACTGAAGACTCGGAACTGCTTTTCCTAAACGAATTTTTCAGTGATACCAACGCCATTTTAACTGCAATAATCAAACTTTTCAGCTCAACTTTGAAAAATTCCAATACCGTGGTGCAGCTGCAATACTAGCATAGGTCGTCTTCTTTCGTTTTGCCTCACAGTCCATATTTTTAGATGAGTCGTGAACAAATTCGTTCAAATTCAGTAAATATGGAAATGTCATTCTGAAAAGATAAAAAAAAAAGTTGAAACGATGAACGATGTTCAACTTAAAACAAAAAGAAGCTTTTAAGAAACAGTGTAAAAAAGATACGCACTTATCGTTCAACTTTATCCTATGCAACGTATTGTAATCAAAATCAAAACGTTTTAACTGTATGGTCAATAAATAAGGAAACTGCGTAATACGGAGACCCTGCAATTTTCAATTTTTCTTATAATGTTTTTTGGACCAGGGAAGAAAAACACAGACCTCCAGCTAAGTCGTGCTTGAAATATTGCTTAAAACAGAATATGAAAAAGTTAGATGCGCCACTGTTCTGGTAAAACTACGATTTGTTGACACTAGCAAACGAAGGAATTATGTACAAGCCTATCTATCGAGAAAGTAAAAACAAAAAACAATAAAAAAAGTAAATTACCTTCTGAGCATTTTGCTTTTTTCCACATTTCTCGCAAAAATACTGATTATTTCCATCAAGGATCTCAGGTTTAATAAAAGCTTGGAGAGCTTCTTCCTATTTAAATGTCGAATTTATAATCAATTTTTAGCATAATGCCACCTTCAGTTTCAAAAACTAGAACTATTACTAAACACCAGTCGGTACAAAATAGTACGAACTTCAAAACTATCGGAAATTATCAGTGAGTTCCTGAAGGTGGAGACAGTCAAGAGATAAATAATAACACATGAAACAAAAAACAGTATAAAAGCTTACAACACTTTTATATGCCTGAACAATACCGAACTGTTTGATAGCCAAGGGAAGGTCGAGAAAAACATCATTCTTTGTACTTTCTGTTTTACAAGCTAAACATTTGACAAAATCTTCCATAGAACCCCTGCAACCTTTCTTCTGCTGACGTTAATGTGGAGACAGACATAACAAAAAAAAAAAAAAAAAAAAAAAAAAAAAA